TGTTGTGATTTCCCCCATGCTGTGATCCCTGGCCCTTTAATATTAATATATTTATATCCCTTTTCTCCTATTCAGTTTTTGCCAGTTTATCCCATCAAATTTTGGGAAGCAGAAGGGACATTTCCCTTTGCACCTAAGTCATATGGTAGAAAGTATTCAACTTTTCCCCTTGTTTTTCACACTTGCTTTGTTCTTGTTTCAGCATATAACTTAGAATCAGCTTTTCAGTTTCCCTAGCAAGACCTGCCTGAATACCTGACACTGTTGGGATTGTGTTTAAATACATTGCTTGGAAATGGCTGTCACAGTAATTTTGTTTTAAATCCATAAACACTTTTTCCATTTGTTTTTAAAATTTCTCTCAGCATTGTTTTTTAGTTTTCTTTCTCTTTTAAAAAAATATTTATTTCTTTATTTTTTATTGGAAAGTCAGATTTGCAGAGAAAAGGAAAGAGAGAAAGATGTTCTGTCAGATGGTTCACTCGCCAAGTGGCTGCATTGGCTGGAGCTCAGCCATTCCGAAGCCAGCAGCTAGGAACTTCTTCCAGGTCTCCCACACAGGTGCAGGGTCCCAAGACTTTGGGCTGTCCTCAACTGCTTTCCCTGGCCACCAGCAGGGAGCTGGAAGGAAAGTGGAGCAACTGGGATATGAACCGGCACCAATATGGGATGCCAGTGTATGCAAGGCGAGGACTTTAGCCACTAGGCTACCATACTGGGCACCAGGCCCTGTTTTTTTCAGTTTTTAATGTTTGTTAGTACTATGCATTTTTGTTAAGAGTATTCATATTTGACTTTTTTCTCAGGTGAACAGTTAGCTTTGTTTCTGATGTGATCTTGTAATTTCCATGTCTGGTTTTAATATGAATATAATGCAAAGGTTTCTAACTGAGCTTGGATATATTTCCTTTTTTCTCTGTTTTGAAAATTAATTTGTTTAGTTATTTCCTTCTTAAATATGTGATAAAATATGCCAGAATGGTTTTCAAGACGATAGTTATACAGACTAGTTCTTCACTGTTTTAGCAAGTGATATATTTTAAGGAGTTTGTTTTTTTTTAAATATATGTTTTATTTTATTTTATAATATATACATAGTTGAGAAGAATGTATGCTCATGTGGGCCACTGATGAAGGTGAGGAGCATTGAGGTATGGAAGAAGGAGAACGGGACAAATGTTTTTTTTTTTTTCTTTTTCTACTGTAACTGCAGGTACAGGGAGAGAGTGGCCGCCTCTCCTTGCTGCCAAACTACATCAACACCCAGGGATGGGGGACAGTCATTTAGTGTCATCTTAGAGACCCTGGTATGGGGAAGAATGTTCCAAGGATGTTACTTGAGTGTTTTTGATAGTTCTGAGAAGTTGTTGGTTTCATTGCTCCAGGGTTGAGAAAATCATTCCAAGGTCATTTAGTTGACCAAGTGTGTCTTAGTGCATCCACAGACCCAGGAACATGCTGCACATCTTGGCCAGGAGAGATGCCCAATCTGTTCTGCTTTCCATCCTCTGACATGGCACTTAACTTCCGCTGCTGGCCTAGATGAGCTGGTTGTATGTCCCCTGTGTGCAATTTGGCTTGCTGTCCGCTGCACAGGCATCAGCTACTGAGGTACAGTCCCAGTATTTGCACTCAAAGGTATGACCACAAAGTCTAATTTTCTCTCTGGTGGGATTTGGAGTTCAGTATTCTAGTTGGGAAGTCCCCAAGAAACCTTGCCTGTGGTGACCCCAGACCTGACTCTTGTGTGTACCAGTTAGTGCAGGATTCAGTTAATGCCATCACCAGCATCAGCCTATGCACCTACTGGTGAATGCATTTGAATGTTCAGTTGTGCACTGCTTTCCCCACCCCTCTTCCGACAGACCCATCTCTCACACAAACCGATGGGTGTTGCATCCTAGCCAAACCCAACCCACCACAATCCCAACTCTTATACACACCAATGGACACTGGAACCTAGTTCGAGTGACTCCCAGTAACGCCACCAGTCCTGCCCCAAGACCCAGTTCCTGCTTGTGTGTCAGTATATGTAGTAGTTTAGTCAGGCCCTTTCACATCCCATCAGATTCTCATATACGCCCATGGGTGCTCAGCCCAGCCCACCGCAGGCACAGTGCAAAGGTATGCGCATGGGTGCTATCACTTTGTCTAACCTGGCCTACCCCAAGCCCTGGCTCTCAGGCTCATCAGTGGGAGCTACAACACAGCAGAGGCGTGCTGGCAGATCACATACTAGGCCCACTTCCAGCCCTAGATCTTACCACTTGGCAGAGGTATTATGGCCTAGCTGAAACCAAACTCCCCCCTCCCCACCCCAAGCCAGCTCACATGCAGGCCAATGGATGTTAAAGACCTACTCAGGTGGTCTGCCCCATGTTAGTCAGCTTTCATGCTCACCAGTGGGGGCATTGACCTAGCATGAGATTCCTTGAAGTTCACCTAACCAGCTTGCCCCCAGCCCTGTGCCATGTGCATCTAGCAGGTGCTAGGCCTCTGCGCAGTGTAGTCCATCCCCACTCCCATTCTTTGTATTAGCATATGGTTGCTGGGGCCTTACCCCTGGACATGATTCTTGGTTGCCCCCATGGGTGCTACAGCCTGGGCCAGCCTGGCCTGCTCCCCATCCCAGTTCCCATGAGTTTTGTGGTCACACCTAGCTCCAACCATCATTACCTGCAACTCTCATACAAACCAGTGGAAATGCAGACCCACAGGGGTGAGCACAAATATTCCCTAAAGTGTCTTCCTCCAGACCTGATTCTCTCACGTTCCAGTTAATGTCATGGCACAGCCTTGCATGGTCCATCCCCTTCCCTGACACACACTGGTAGATATTATGGTTTAGCCCTAACAGGTAGACCCACAGCCCTAGCTTCCATGTGTGCTGGCAGGTCTTGGATGATATCACCATCCAGGTCTGTCACATGGTCTGATCCAGATATGCCCTCCAGTTTCCCCTCTATAAACCACCTAGTCTCAGCTGCCTCCTTTACCCGTGATTGCAGTGACCTGGTACTTGGAAGCCCTGTAAGTCATACCACATCTGTAAAGTGCTACCTCAGTGGCCCTCCACTCTCATACATCCACAAACTCCTTTCCCTGAGCAATCCACAGTCCTCCTGCCCACTGGTTTGGGCCCCAGGATCATCTTCCAGCAGGATCTTCTGGCCCCTGGTTTGGTAACGATGGCAGCAGCAATACAGGCGCGGGAGCTGACTACCTCACATATCTTAAAAAAAATAGAAAGTATAGCCAGCTCTACTGGCACACTAGTATAGTTAATACAAATTTGGTATTAACCAGGCCCAGAATGCCCAACAGCTACTGGCTTCTTTTCTCCCGGTATTGTAACACTTTTCTGGGTACAAGGCAACCTATGCAGTCTCCTTCAGTTTGGGTAAGGAGTTAATTTTTTTTTTAAATTGTTGTTTATTTGAAAGGCATGGGCGGGGGGTGAATATTTCTTCTGTCTGCTGACAAGCATCCCAAATGCCCTCAACAGCCAGTGCCGGGCTGTGCCAAAGCCAGGAACCCAGTACTTGTACTTGAATACCTGTTGCCTTCCAGAATGCACATTATCAAGAAACTGACCTGGAAGTAGAGTAGCTGGGTCTTAAGCCAACGCTCAAATATCAGATATGGGAGTCTCAAGTAGTAACAAGCCATTATATCCAATAACCACCCCTATGTGATTATAAGACAGATTAATGAATTTATAGTCAATACACATGTAGTTTGTAGTAATAGCCCTAATTAGCACTCAATACTAGCTGCTGTAAATGAAAACATTGTAAGGACCAGACAGTTCCTTGTTGATGAGGTAGTACAGCATCCTAAGACAACACAGGTTGAGTCAGATGTGCCGTACAATCTTCACTTTTCTGACAGAAGAAAGTCATGAAAGTCTAGCCAAGTTCTGTTGTGTTTTCAGGAAGGATCCTGTCTCACAGCTACTGGCTGCCTACCCAGGGGCACATACTACAGTGTAAGGACTCAGGCTCTGATTTTTAAGGCCTAGTTTTCCTACACAGTACTGAATGTGTATTACATGTAGGGTGCTTTAATGTCTTCCATATTCCTTTCTAAGCCTTGTTAAAAAAAAGAAAAGAAGTAGCTATGTTGTTGGTTACTTAGAATTTAGGTATATTGGTAGATTTTCTTGGGGAAAAAAATTAGATGTACTGTGTGTCATACATGAATAATATTTTTGTGAAGTATCAGTACAGACAGTAAATATTTAAAGTTTGGGAGCTATATAGTCTCTGTTAATGAATATTTTATAGTACAGAAGTACTCATGGCAGTAAGTATGCAAACAAATGAGTATCGCCACAAAACTATAGAAGTTTATTTGAAAATATGATTGGCAGGAAGAACAAATTTGACCTATAGGCTATAGTTTGCCTAATCTGGCCTCTATAAGAATTATGTATCTTTAAAAAAAAAAAGGGAAGAAGAAGAAGAAGAATTATATAGATAGAGATTTGCCTGTATACTGCCCCTACATACAAGATTTAATGGGCGTTATTTACTTGTTCTGTGTAACTAACTCACTGATGGTGAAGATTTTTCTCAGTATTTGTATTGGCAAACTCTTCAGGAAGTGTGCATATTTGTGGCTTCGACTTTTCAGTGAGGGAAACAATGAATTTAAAAGATAATGTTTGGGATAATTTTTATTCACTGATTTACTCAACAATTCTCCATTGAGTGTGTATTTACTCAGCACTGTCCCAGGGTCTAAGTATTTGGTGCTGCCCGTTACCTTGTGTCACTGACCTCATGATGCTTACAGCTTAGGTAGCCTGTAAACAGGTAATTGCAGGTGTGTTAGATATCTGTTCATAAATCACGTTGTGCTAACCATTGTGATACCACCTATTTTAAGAAATGGCTGACAGTATTTTAAGAAATTTAGACAGTTACTATGTAAAAGTCCTTCCTTAGATATGTATAATTATTGGCATCTCAATTAAAATTCCTCTGTTTTTATTTAAGAAAAGAAAAGAAAGGGAACAAAAAATTAATAAAGAAATGGAAGAAAAAGCAGCAAAGCAACTGGAAAAAGAACATTTACAAGAAAAAGCGAAAGAAAAATATCAAGAATGGTTAAAGAAAAAAAAAGCTGAAGAATATGAGAAGAAGAAGAAAGAGATGGTATTTTCTTTCTGCCATTCTAATAAGAATATATTGCTCTAATATTCATAGATACTGGCTAGAATTAGAAATAGCATATAATTAGAGAAACTTGAAACAGCATGAAACAAATGAAGCTATCCCATTTTTTTATTAGACTATTTAAGCTTGAGTTTGAATATACACATTTTATGTTGAAAACATTATTTATTGATATTTTTCAGTTAAATGTATAAATTTTAGCTGTTAGTGTTGTGACAAATAATGTTATTGTATTGTTAGTTATGCCTTAAATTAGCACATATTCTTTCTTCCTAAATGTGATGTCACCTTAATGTCATCTCCTGATCCTAACCAAATTTTATTCTCAAATTTTAGGAGTATGATTTAACATCAGGGCTTGTGAGCTAATTAGGTAGGAAGTACTTAGGGGGAAAAATCAGTGGCATTTAAATAGAAAATCCAGTTATAGAGTATCCCTGAAAATTCTTTGGTCTTGTCATTTTAAGGAAAAAGAAAAACAGCGACAAGCAGAATTACAGGAGAAAAAAGAAACTGCAGAGAAAAAATTTAAGGAATGGTTGGAAAATGCAAAAAATAAACCTCGTCCAGCTGCCAAGAGCTATGGTTATGCCAACGGAAAACTTACAGGTTGGTTTTTATGTTGTGTGGCTTACATAAGTATGGTTTGCCAGAGCAGATGTTAAACATTTTGTTTCCTTTTGACAGAAATAGAAGTGTGTAAAAATTGTTTTCTTTCAAATTACTATTTTCCAAAGATTATGTTATAACACACTACATTGCTTTGGAAATACTACAGATTTGTCATTGTCTATAAATCAGATACACAGACACACACACACACAAATGCATACTCTTAAAGGCAGTAATTGCAAAACTGCAAATGTATGCTTTAATGATTTCTAACACTAACAAGTCTAGTCTGCTTACATTTGATCTTGGAGAATGATAAGGCCTCACTCAGGATATGTTTAAGTAGTCGTTTTACCTTCTCTCCCTCCACTCCTTTGTAAGGCAGAGCTTCCAATGTCTTGGGCACTTTTGTTAGGGTGAAAATAAGACAGCGCATGATCCAAACACAAGATGATGGCCTTTACGCTTGGTTTGATTATAAATGGTAATACATGTTTTTCTTTGTGCTTGTTGTTGGAAGCCCATACCTTGCTGGAAGCTGTGTTCACTTGTTTAAGTGATTTATTATTGAAAATACTCACATTCTGTTTTGTTCACACAATAGAACATATTCCAGACTTTGTTTTGACCAATTTGCTGAAGTATGTGTTGACATATCTATGCAGCCCAAGCGGGTTCCGGTGTCTGAGAGACACATTCCTGCTGTCAGGATTAGGCCTCTGGTACGGCACAGAGGTCATCCATTACAGCTACTGAAGATAGTCTGCTCCTGTTTGTTGTTCCTTGCTTCACAAAAAAAAAAAAAGAGTAATAGGCAGTGGTTTTAAAGTAATGATTAGAGAGCAGAGGGAAAAAATTTAGTTGGAAGATTTAGTTAACTATAAACTAAAAGAATACTAAATTATTTTACTAATTTTTGGATTTTAAATATTAATACATTTTGTAAATGCTGTGTTCATTTTAAATGTCTATGTTTACATACATTTTCATAAATTGTGAACTGAAATATATATTATTAAAGGATTTGGAAATGTTTTGTTACTCTTTTGCATGGTTAAGCACTTTGTATAATTCAAGAATGTTCCATAATCATTAATCAGAATTACAGTACTATTGTGAAATAGTATCAAGAAATAATCAAAAATTTCAGTAACACTAAATGAAAATCTTAGTTCATGTTAGCCACATATGCAAAATAATTGAAATTTTATCTGTTTATTTTAGAGAGGGAGAGCAAGGGAGACAGCATTCCCATTTACTGTGTGTTCATGCCCACCCTGCCCACCCCACCCAGGTGCTTGCAGTGGCTGGGAATCTGTGCCAGGCTAAGGCTGGGAGCCAGGAGCTAGCAACGCAAATCATATGGGTGTCACCAACCCAGCTACTTGGACCATTTTCTGCCCCCTAGGTTGGACACTAGCAGGAAGCTGGCTCAGAACCAGAGGAGCTGGGACTCAGACAAGGCACTCTCTACGGGATGTGAACTTCCCAAGCCACATCTTAACTGCCACTTCAGATGCTTACTCTGCAAAATAAAGGGTTTTTTTCCTTTTTCCTGTAATATTCAGTGCATACAAGCGGAAACCATTACACAATCAATCATTTCCTATACTGAGTTAAAAAGGTGAAAACTTTGTTCAATTTAGTGCTTATAAAATTTGTTTTTTAGTAAAACTTTTAAAGGAAATTTTGTTTGTATAGATTTTAACATTATTGTTTTTTAGATTCTTAAAATTATCGTTTATGTTCTGACATTTAATGTAATGTCATAACTGTATTTGAAAAGCGTAACTTTTAAAGAATAGTTGCAAGTTCAAATTTTAAATTAGTCAAATTGGTTTATCAGTTTATTTTGCCATTTTGACAGTTTTCTAGAAATTTTTTGTTAATGATTTCTTTGAGCTTAAGAAATTTTTTATTTTTGTTTTGATTTTTCAATAACTTCAGGTTTTTACAGTGGAACTTCGTATCCAGAACCAGCCTTTTATAATCCAATTCCATGGAAACCCATCCATATGCCTCCTCCTAAAGAAGCTAAGGATTTATCTGGAAAGAAGAATAAAAAACCTGTGATAAGTCAGCCATACCGGGCATCCTCTCTGCTACTTCATAAAGCCAGAAGCAATCTTTGCCTTGGAACTTTATACAGAGTACAAAGATAGCATATATGGGTAATAGCATGCTTTTTATCTGGAACTAATTGTTGCTAAAAATCAATTTTTTTTTTACTGCTCAATCAGTAAGTGAAAGTTTGATGTGATTATTGGCAAGTACCAATTTTTTTTGCATTTGTAGTTCTTAGAGTTAATTGAGGAAGATATTTTCTACGTTTTTATTTTTAGGGGACTTTCAAGGCTAGCCTTGGCATGTCGTTTTACAGGATAAGTGACTAAATAACTAATGATTGTGACTGTATTTAGCTTATATTAAAACTGTAACCAATGAAACTAGCTTTTCTGGCTTTCTTTCATACTCTATGTTACTAGTTTATGAGTTAATATTAAAAAGGTTAATCTGAGGGTAGGCATTTGGCACAGTGGTTAAGGTGTTGCTGAAGAGTTCCACACCCGGTATCAAGGTGCCAGTGACAACTCTGCTTCTCATTCCAGCTTCACTGCTGCTGCAATGCAGCTGGGACAAGAACCTGGGTCCCTGCCACCCACATAGGGGCCCCGGAATGAGCTGCAGCCTCCTGGCTTGAGCCTGCCCTGGGCCTGGCTGTTGCAGTGCTTGGAGAGTGGACTGTTAGATGGAAGATGTCTGTGTCTCTGCCTTTTAAATAAGTGGTGTTATGATCTGCAGTGTTGGTCAGTACAAGTTAATGATAGTAGAATCCAGAAATAACAAACAGTTAAGCATTTAATGAGGCTACGTTTTCAAAATGAGCATTTCTAAACTCTCTGCTTGAGATAACTCTTAGAAACATCTAAATGTTTATAATGCTGGAGTAACGAAAAAAAACCATATTAATGGCTTTTGTTTTTGTTTTATTTTTCACTTGTAGGTATTTTACAAATAACCAACTTGAAACATGCTTTGTGATGAACAAATAAACGTTAGGGTACTTTCAGGAGGAGGCATTGTGGCTCAGTCTGTAAAACCCTTGCTTGGGACAGCCACATTTCACATGAGTCTCTGGCTATTCTGTGCCTCCAGTCTTGCTTCCTGCTAATGCACCTATGGATGGTCTGGCTGCTAGGAATCCTGACTCCTGTGGGGAAGACCCATATGAAGCTGATGGCTCCTGGCCTCGGCCTGGCCTCACCCTGGCCTCGGCCTGGCCTCATCCTGGCTCTTGTGGGTGTGTGAGCATTTGAAACACTAGGGGAAAGATTGATCTCTTTTCTCTTGCTCTCTCTTTCTGCCTTCCCCCATCCCATTTCTTCCTCTCTCTGTGACACTTTGCCTTTCGAGTGAATAAATATGAGAAAATAAAAATAGGAGGAGAGGCTGAGCATTGCAATATTTAGACATCAGACCTCCTCAACTGAGCAGCCAGTAAAGTAGAAGAAAAACTAGAAAGAGTATGATGTCACAGAAGCCATAAGTAGATATGAGGTGTGAAGCCTAATGCTGTTTGAGAGGTGAGGGAATGAAAGAGCATTCAATGCTGAGTTTGTCAAGATGCAAGAAGGTTATTGTTGACTGTCATAGCAATCAGGTGTTGAATACTTTGTAAGTACCTGCATTCTGGTACTTTTGTTTGTGCTATTTTATCCTTCACAAAATCTCTACGGAACAGTTGCTTTCAGCATCCTCATTTTATAGATGAGACAACTGAAGCACAGAAGAAAAGAAAACTTATGTTACTTTTATAACTAGTTAGTCACAGAATGGGAATTAGAACCCAATAAATTAAGTGCATATTGTGTTTCCTATCCTATTAAGAAAACCTGTTGTAAAGTTACAGTTAAATAGGCTGAACAAGAAAGTAGAGACTATAACTAAAGACATCTCTGGACATGTGATATTATTATTAATTTTTCAGTTTGTTCATTTGGAAGGCTGTTGGGGGAGACACAGAAATTTTCCACCTGCAGGTTCACTCCCCAAATGCCCACAGCAGGAACTTGCTGCCTCTAGAGTGCATGTTAGCTGTTAGTTAAAGTTAGTAGCAAAGGTAGGACTTGAACCCTGGTACTTTGATGTAAGAGGGCGATCCCAACTGGCAGCTTAACTGCTGCACCAAATGCCTGCTGCTCTGGAAAATGTAATCATGAAGAAGTTATAAACGGGAAGGGAGCTGGAAAAAGACAAGGTCAGGGACATTTGTGCTTCCGTGTGAGACTATTAAATATGTGTGCTGATAGCTACTATCCAGCTAAAGGAGGGAAACCATTAACTTAGAAGCAATCAGAGATGAGTAGTAAAAATGGTGGCTTACATAGAAGCCAGGGAATTTCTTCCCTTTTAACAGAGAACATGTACACCTGTTCAGATAGAGCTGGTTATCATTGAGCATAGGCAGATAATTCTTGTCAAACAGCTTCTTGTTTGTGAAGTGGGAAGGGAGAGCAAAGTTATCAGCAGAGGGCTACGACAGTGCGTTACAAGTTGAAGGAAAAAGGAAAAGCATAATAAGGAAATAAGCATGGTTGATAGGAGAACACAAATTAGCCAGAGGAATTGGTCATTCTTCTGGGTAATGCTGTTTGCTTTTTGGCACTTTTAGTTATAAAATAAGATCAAGGTAAGAATGCTGTCTTTTTTTTTTCCATTTCTAGAAAAAAGTTTAGCTACTGGGTTTAAACCCAGAGTAAGGTTTTATTGGGGATAGACAAGATTATTATTAATCTGACATGCTAAAATTTGAGATGGATATTTTTCAAATGTGGATGTTGAACTTGCCAAGAACATGACAGAAGTAGTAGTAGACTGGCACCAGGTGCTAGAGTGTCAGTGATTCAGGTACTTGTTTGGCATTATAAGATGGAATAATCTTGAGAAGAGCTGGGAGACTTGTAAGAGAAAGGAAATGATGTGATTTGGAAGTGACAGTGGGGGAACAAGGTAAATAGGGAAAACGCCTACTCCCCAAAGCCAAGCATCAAGGTGTGCTCTAGAGTTGGGGAACAGCAATGCAGGATTCCACTGCGGGTGAAAAGCTTACCAACACGTGGCCATCGCTGTAACACAACTGGAACCCTCCCCAGGGGACTAAGGATCAGGGTTGAGCAGCAGGGTCGGAAAGCAGGAGAGGTTTATCAAAGAACCATCAGAAGTAGAATTTACAGGACTGTTTTGGAACTAACTGGTGATGACGGTGTTAACAGGGAAGAGGAATACAGAAATTGGGTGTAAGACGTGGAAAATTTTTATTTATTTAAAATTGTTTATCAAAGTAATATAGGCATACAATTTAAAAGACAGTACAAAAGTGAGAACACACAAAACTGCTGAAGTCCTAGCCACACCTTCTGATGGGTGGCATTAGAATTTTCTAATGCCAGGCATTTCCAGTGGTTGAAGAGACCCCCCATAGGGAACAGCTTACCTGCAGGTCTCCGGCCAACAAGGGGAGGTCAGGGAATGTTTAAAATCCCAAGACTCTAACAAAGAGGCCCTGGTGTCTTTTTCCACTCACATACTCACTTTGTAAATAACAATTCTCTGTCTGCAAACACTTCACCACTTTTTATTTCTATATTAGCCGCTTTTTATTTCTGTATTAAGCTGTGGAAAGAACACAGTAAGCTTTTCTGGTATCAAAAAGAATTGCTTTTTTCCTGGAAATCGGCTACAGTTTGTCTCACTTCTTACTACCTCACACTGCTGCACCCAGAGTGATATTTTACCGCTGTATCTCTTTGATAATCTCCAGATTAGTCTCATTATGTTCTCTTTTTTCCAGATTCATGTTATGAAATTAACTCATGAAATTGCTAGTCTTCCATCTTATTAGGCAATTAATTAGTCTTCCACAATCATTTTTTTATTTTTAAGTGTTGTTTCTATCCTATATTTTATTCTGTGAGAATTCTTTGATGTGATCATCTGATCCTTGATAAATTTTTATAGCCATATAATTTTAAATTGTATTTTAAATTGTAAGCACTTTTTTCTGTTTATTCCTTTTTGTTAGTATGGCTTTTTGTTTTATGGCTGTAATATATTTTCTTGCCTCTAAGAACATTAATTACAGTTTTTATCTTCTGTCTTAATTGGGCTTTTCTCCGGAATGCCTTTTTTTCTCCCCTTCATTTTCTCTTTTTCTGTTTACAGGATTTCCTTGAACACTTGTTAAGCCTTGTCTGACTTGGTATTTAGGATGTGAATCCGTGTCTGCTCATTCTTAAGAATGGGGCATTAAAAAGCTGAATAGAAGCTATCTGGGCATAGGTAGGGTTTTGTTGTTGTTGCAAGGAACTTCCAAATACCTGAACAGCTTTCGACTTCAAACTGTTCGGTTTCTCAGAGAAGATGCTTTTCATCTGGGAGCTGCAGATCCAGCTGCCAGTAGTCCGGACAGGCCGGTTGAATGCAGTACAGTTCATGTCTGGTGAGTTCAGAAACTCTACTCGTCCCAGGACTGTGAACTCCATGTGCTGAGCCCTTCCAGAGTGCTGTAGGTTGAGGCGATTCTTCTCTGTTTGCTTAGCATTTATTTCAGCGTTTGGAAACTTTTAGGTGGTTGAACAGTATACGAAGGAATGTTGGAGGCAGGGGAACCCCCTAGAAGAAAGACAGATAATTTTAAAACAAGAAAAGAACACTGCAATATCATATCGTCCTTAAATTTGAGAAAGAGACTACATTACAAATCCCCACTCAGTGATTTTACCTGCATCTGTTTTCTACTTTCCCAGAGTCTGAGAATATTTGATTAACCATTGTGTCCTCTTTTCTTTGCTTCCATGAATTTGTGCTTTCTTTGTGTGTGTGTGTGTGAGTGCATGCATGCTTTCTCTTAAATGAGTTTCTTTGCTGTCATTTTAGCAGCGATTGGAATGGGAAAGGAGATATTTGTGTGTAACTTCTCTGTTTATTAAACATTTATTTTATTTGTTTGAAAGGCAAAATTAAAGAGGGGGGCTGGTTTCCATCCACTAATTTGTGACTGCAGTGGCTGTGGCTGAGGCTAGGCCAGACCAAAGACAGTCGTCAGGAGCTTCTTCCTAATCTCCCACTAGGATGCCAAGCACTTGACCTCTGCTTTCCCAGCCCATTAGCCGAGAGCAGGACCAGAAGTGGAGAAGCCAGAATTGGTGGCATTGGCACTGTATGCAATTTCAGGGCTCCAGGTGGCAGTTTAACTTGCTGTGCAACAGCTCTGGCCCTTTCTGCTGTTTATTTAACATCTTAAGTTTCTTTGTGAATCTGTTGATGTAGGGTGCTTGCAGAGACATGAGTTTGCCAGCTGGGCAAGCAGTTCAGTTAAGGATAGATGTTTAGCATAATTATTGAAACTGTGGATGTGAATAACATTTCTAAAGGAGAA